CAGTTTAACGGCCCTCGATGAGCAACACTCCTGATGCCAAATCAGGCAGGTCCAGCTTCCTCGGCCGTACCCCTAGCCAGGACCAAGTCAGCATGCGGTCAAATTCCAGGCCCCAGAGCGACCCGCACTCGTCCAATAGCGTGCCAACGCGCATGACCCTGGCTTCGCTGCAGAATCAGCAGCCCATCGGACAAGACCCCGCCCAGGATCTGCCAAAGGAAGTGATGAACAAGCAGCTGCAGGACTTCAAGATCCCCTGGCCGACACCGGCTGGCGGGTTTCCGTCGACCAAGCATCAAAACCCTCACCAGAAAACCCAATTTAAAAATGCCTACTCCTCAACCGGCTTTGACATGCTCGGAGTGCTGGTACGTCCTGGCACCTCTTGCTGTCCATGCCGGAAAAGCTGACATAAGACAGATGCGTGTCGCATCACGCCCTGAACCACAGATCGACATCGGGTCTGTCGATCTCTCGTGCGCTTTCGTAGTTTGTGATGCTGAACTGGACGACATACCTATCGTGTACTGCTCGGAGAACTTTGAGCGACTGACAGGCTACACAAGACATATGATTCTCGGGCGAAATTGCCGCTTTCTTCAGGCCCCAGACGGCAAGGTCGAATCTGGAATCAAGCGTAACTATGTCGATGACGACTCTGTCTACTACCTGAAGAACATGATTGAGTCTCGCGCAGAAGCCCAGATCAGCTTGATCAACTACAGGAGGGGTGGCCAACCGTTCATGAACCTTCTCACAATAATTCCAATCGCATGGGAGCCTGGCGGCAAGATGAAGTTCTTTGTCGGATTTCAGGTCGATCTAGTGGAGCAACCGGGAGCAATGACCAACAAGAACTCGGATGGATCTTACCGAGTTAATTACCAGCGCGGCATGTCGATGCCCAGCTATGTCTTCAGCGACCACCACAAGCCGCAACACGCCGAGCAAGGCCAAACCATATCCAAAGACGAAGTATCCAACGTCCTGGCCGCGTACAGTGGAAGCGGGGACTCTGAGATGACGAGACGCATCTGGGACAAGGTTCTTCTTGAAAACAGTGACGACGTTGTTCATGTCTTGTCGCTCAAGGGACTGTTCTTGTATCTGTCGCCCGCCAGTAACAGAATACTCGAATATGACCCAAGCGAGCTTGTCGGAACAGCGCTGTCGTCTGTCTGCCACCCTAGCGACATCGTCCCGGTTACGCGAGAACTCAAAGAAACCACAAGTGGTGCCTCAGTCAATGTCGTCTTCCGGATACGGCGGAAGAAGAGCGGATACATGTGGTTTGAAGGCCATGGTTCGCTGCACACCGAACAAGGCAAGGGTCGCAAGTGTATCATCTTGGTTGGACGTGAACGACCAGTCTACACTCTCAGCAAAGCTATCGTACGCGAGTCTGGCGGCGTTGGTGACAATGAGCTATGGACGAAGATGTCTACATCTGGCATGTTCCTGTATGTGTCATCGAACGTACGTCAGCTCCTCGATAAGCAGCCTGAAGACCTTGTCGGTACCAGCATCCAGTCGCTCATGCGACAGGAGTCTAAAGTGAATTTTGGGCGTATATTAGAGCTTGCCAGGGGAGGCAGGAAGGGCGAGGTCAAGCACGAGATGATCAACAAGCGTGGTCAAGTGCTCCAGGCCTTTACGACAATCTATCCCGGCGATGCAACTGAGGGACAGAAACCCACCTTTGTTGTCGGACAAACACGACTACTCAAGTACTCGCGGAACAGCAATGCTGGTCGCCCGTCCATGTACACCAATTCCAAACTTGATCGCGACTCTCACAATTCCATACACACGCACATGTCAGGAGCAGCATCACCTGCTGCAGCATCACTGACCGGCAACACTGGCAACACTGGATCGAACACTCCAATGACGTCAGCCACCAATCCTCTATTCGTCACTACAGAAGAATACCCGGCCACGTACGCGGGACACAACGGCCTGCAGCTTGGACACCAAGACCAGAGTCTTGCTTCCGACGATAACGTTTTTGATGAGCTCAAGACAACAAGAAGCACTAGCTGGCAATATGAGTTGCGACAAATGGAAAAGAGAAATCGTTATCTAGCCGAAGAGGTACAGAGCCTGTTGGCGGCCAAGAAGAAACGGAAGCGCAGAAAGGGGGCGGGCCAGTTGCAGAAGGATTGTGCAAACTGTCACACAAGGACAACACCGGAGTGGAGGAGAGGTCCTTCTGGAAATCGTGACCTCTGCAACTCTTGTGGACTGAGATGGGCCAAACAGGTAAGTCGCCGCCCATCTTACCGGACTCAGCAACGACTGTAAACTAACATCACTGCTCAACAGCAAGGACGAGTTTCACCAAGAACATCTTCTGCCGCAAGCGACAAGAGCAAGAAGAGCGCTTCACCACGCCACTTCACATCTAACCATCAAGGCCACCAGAACATACTGCCACATTCGACTTCTGAGGGTGGTCAACAGGGCTCTTCGGTGAAGGCCACTTCCAGCAAGCGGTCCCCGCAACACGGAAGCATTAGCGAAACCCATGCCGCAAAGGCGGCACGCATCGAAGTAGTCAATACGCATGGCTTCATTCCACCACCGGCCATTGACGAAGTAACAGAGCCAGGCTCAGTGTGAGCGCAAAAAAAAAAACTGGACCACCCCATTCTACATGTTCTTTCTTCTTCCTCTTCTTGTTATGTGTCATTCTGGTCAAACGATACCCCATTACTCATATTCAATTTAACGAACATCACCACCACACTCGCTTGACGGACAGTGCGAGCGATGACCAAAGGGCATCCCTGGTCTTTGAAATTCCTCTTCATCTCCATTCATGCTTAACGATCTTGGGTTCACTTACAATAAATCGGGTTATGCTCGGCGTCTGCTGTTGTTGCTGTTATTGTTTTGTCCCTGTTGAAACTTTTACCACACTTCCTCTCGCGGCGGCTGAGAAAGATAGTGTGGCACACAAAAACCGGGTGTAGATACGACGTGTGGGATCCGTCTTTTTTTTCGGAGGCGGACTGCGAATCTTTGATTTATACAGTTTTTCTTCCTCTTCCTTTTCGGAGCCATGCGAACAAACATGTACATATCATATTAGAAGAAATTGTGGCGAGGGGAGGGTAGTGGGGGTAGTGAGGTGGGGTGAACAAACTGTTGTGAAGGGCTTCGGCGTGTTATAGAAAGAAAGTGCGCGTGTGCGCTCTCTCTCTCTCTCCCGGTGCGCGTGTCTGTTGTATGCGCATGCATGATTATCACGCAAATATGAATTTCCATCTCTCGGTATTCATCCAAGCGAGAAACGTGCGTTACGTGTAGAGTGCAAGAAGCTAACAAGGATCGAAGTAGATTGATGCGTATCGTCTAAGAAAATCTATAGCACCACTTGCCGGTTCATAGATTGCTGGCCCGTAGAAGAACCGGTGATCTATGCGAACCCATGGACTTGAAACAGGGTCTACATACCTACCTGTCGCTTTCTTGCTTCCGGCTTGTACGGATCGTGGGGTAGGAAGGGGTACGTATACGGACTCGGCTTTCTTACCCAACACGAGGATTACATCTTGTCGATGCGCCGGTAGTTGTGTATACCAAGACCCCGCGGACCAAACCCCAAGAAATAATCTTTCCGAGGCTTGGGGCAAGGAGGAATGAGGATGGGTAGGTAGGCCGTATGTACGTTACGTGTCCTCAAACTTGACCTTAGACGAGACGTTTATGCGAAAACACATAACGTAAAATAACATGACGTTTACCTTACCTACCCTACTAGCCCCTCTACGACGCGTCTGTCTTGTCTGTCATCAAGCAGCGATTAAAGTTTCGACAGGTTTTACACTTCCAACATCATCTCTCGTACACTCTCTCTCTCTCTTACACTTTAATATGTAGGGATACTCGTTGCAGGATTCATCCGCTGAGTTTCATGTGATATTTGTTGTTTTTAGCCAATTGGTGAGTCGGATAGGGGAGTTTATGCGTTGGAGATTTTCGCGTTGCGAGGGCGGCTTCTTGCGGTTCTTGGGTTTCCGTGTCGCGTGGGCGGACATGTCGTGTTATGGGCGATAGGGTTATAGTAGGACAGGGTAGGATAGAGTAAGGCAGACTCGCGATGCGATGCGCGGATGGAAGGGACGTTTGCTTCCGTCAGGAACCGTGGCGCGCCACGCGTGGATTGGGGGGCATGTTGGCAAACGTCATTGTGGCGGCGCTTTGACCCGGCTGGGACCTGCATGGTTAGGGTCTTGGTATTCTTCTTCGCCTATCCTATCGTGGCTCTCTGTGCTTGTGCTTTTGCTTTTTTGACGAGTGACTTTGCTGGCTGCTTGTTCTGTTCGTCTGAGGTTTGTTTTGTTTTCCTTCTTTCGGTTTTGTGTACTCTGTCGGAGGATATACGCATGTGGCGTACACTGCAACGGGGTTAAAGGACAGCGCACGTTGGCGTGTCTGTTGGGTTGAACCCCGGAGGTGGTAGTAGATGGGTTAGGTGACAGTCTGGCTTGATCATAGTTCGTTTGGCACTCAATGCAGAGGTAGGTTCGGAAAAGGATTTGGAATGTTGATCTGAATAAGAGAAGGGCAGGTAGAGAGAGATGACCAGTTTACGTGATTGTATCGGTCGTATTTGGTGTGTGTGCGTATTGAGTACGATACTGTAGGATGTAATATAACGAATTGATATTGATATGTATATATATAGCATTATACATAGATGATATACGGTACAGGCTAGGTTGATGACGACGCTGTGAGACATGGGATTACGGCGGAAAATAGCAGCTTGGTGTTGCGCAACAGGTTACCGTGCCGCCGCTTGCCCGTCCGCCGTTCCTTCTACCGTATACTACTGCTGTAACCTGCAAGGTACATTTTCACCGAGGCTGAGGAGGGTGCAGGTGGGCAGCAAAGACGGCGCCTCCCAATCAAAACAAGTGGGGCGCCCGGATCCCGGGACTCACGTTCTAACCCAAACCCATATTTCTCGCATTCCGCTTAGCCTTGACCCGGGCCCAAGCGCTCCTTGCTCACAGGCTGGCCCATTCCTGATTCCGTGTCGTGGGTGACGAAAGTCATGGCGTCCAGGGTGCAAGGGGGGCTGCCGTACCGCCAAGTTTGGAAGGGTAGGAAAGATTGGTTAGGTCGCGACAGGTAAGATATGGCATGTGGCGCGCCTCGTGGGAGTGTGCTACTGTGGCCAGACCTCATGTCCCAGGGGACGGGACGGAGGGGGCGGGCGATCATCGTCTCATTTCCTTTTCTACCGTGGTCTTCATGCCCGATGATTTTCTTACTTTTGACTATGTATGCACGCGCACCTTTCGCCTGCTTACTAGTTCCGTGCCCTCGCTCTACTAATGCACACGATAACGCGATTGATTGACTTGATTGATTGAGAGCCAAGAGAAGAACACTGACACGCCGAGACTGTGCGTTTTACATTGCTTCTTTTTGCATCGGCCCGCGGTTCTGATCTCTCTCCAGACAACCGACGTGTTTTACCTTTTGGCCTTTCTTTTTCTGCGTCCTGGAACAGGTCTGGGAGTCCGAGTCTGTGACGGAAGACATCCTTGCGCAGATATCCTAGGTTTATTTCTTTGGGAGCGGGTCTGTTGCCTGTGTGTGCGGACTAGGGACACCTGGATTCTTCTTGGGCGAAAGGAGGAAGTTGGGTTTGGAACGTCTACCATTGCGACGCCGCGGAGAAGGAAACAACGACTGCCATTTGCGAGATACGACTACCGAACCATCGGATCGCGAACCTAGGAAAGAAGCAGCGCGCATAGCTGGGCGCATCGACATTGCGCTAAAAGAGGAACCATGGATGAGAATAACAGGATAACGATTACCGTGTGCGGAGATGGTGGTTGCGGTACGCACGATGCAGAAGAAAGCCGGAAAAGACCGAGGGCTGATTAGGGCACAGGAAAGAGTTCGATTACATTACGGCTTGTGAGGAGTCAGTGGACGTCTGAGTAAGTGCTGAATGAGAGAGGAGAAGAGGGTCATTGCTAACACTCAACTTTCTAGATACGATCCCACAATAGGTACATTGCCCACGCAAATACCCGTCATCCCACTAACCCCCCTCCAGAAGACTCCTACTCCGTAACCAGAACCGTCGATGGCGTTCCTTATTACCTCATGCTCACCGACACCGCCGGACAGGAAGAATACCGCGGTCTCTGGGCCGCCTCGAACCTCCAATCCGATGCATTCCTCCTCGTCTACGACATCACATCGGCAAACTCGCTCGACGCGCTGGATTACTTCATGGAGATGATTGATATGGAAACCGACAACCGGCTAGACAATGGCAAAATACCGCCAATCAAGTGCGTGGTGGGAAACAAGTGCGATTTGCAAGGACAAAGAGTGATAGAGGCTAAGAAGGGTCTTGAGTGGGCAAGGCAAAGAAAATGCGGCTTCATGGAGACAAGTGCAAGGGAGATGGTGAATATCGAAGAGACATTTGCTCGTAAGAATTACCCTCATATCGAAGTTTGGATTGAAAGAAATGAAGAGAAGTGCTAACTTTTGGATCTAGTGCTTGTACGCCGCGTTGTAGAAGCACGGAGACTAACTGGGGGAGATGGCGCTGCGAATCGGAACATGGCCTACTCAATGTCAAACAACCTAAACGCGGACGGAGCGTATCAACAAAACGAAAAAGATGACGACGAGCCAAAACAGAGCTGGTGGTCGAAACTCAAATGCTGGTAGTTACAGTCCTGGCACTGTAGTATTACGAGTTCTTGAGACCACGTTCGGGAGCATGAGAACATGAGCATACATATGACGTATCGTGTCTACGCCTTCGGTTGCGGTTACGTATTTGCTGGGACCGCTGCTATGTGTGTTCTTTTGCTCTTCGGTCCAGTCGTTGAGCTGCTTTTTCTTGTATCTGTTTTTTTCTTGTATACCAAGCCTTCGCATGTGCATGAACACTCTTGTTTAGCGGGATCGGTTATGGGATATACGGTCATCTCTCTCAGTCCTGTCTCTCATCTTTTGGTATAATACCGATCGTTGTCCTTTTTCTTTATCATCGTATACCTCTGTTGCTAAGGCTGTCGTTCAACGCGCTCGTATTTTTCGTATTGTAAATGTAGACAACACAATCTAGAAGATCAGGGCCCGCGGTGCAATGTTCACATGAATGGTTGATTGTGGGACATCTATGACTTACTCAAGTAATATGATGCGAATTATGACCAGTTCGAGGCATGGGATGCAGCTAATCGTCGGCTATCGAAGGGTAAGTTATCCCTAGCGCGTCTGTGCGCAAGCACGCCATTGGCTTTGGTACCACTGCAAGAGCCTCGAAAATGCATCTTCACATTTAACTCGAACAGAATTGACGTTGGAAAAGTAGAGAGTATCATTACCGATTTTACTATCATCGAGAAGAGTGCAAGAGGCGCGTCGAGCCGAGCAGTCCGCGATTGCCCCTCCATCAGCGTCGTGCTCCCGGAGATAAGAGAAGAAACCACGAAGAAGTCGTCGAGGAATCGGAAAGAGCGGGAACAAAATGTCAAAACCTCACATTGACCAAGAGGCAGACCAAAGCAGTCTGTCGCGTACCCTCAAGGACCTCTTTGCCGGTGCAGTCGGTGGAGTGGCACAAGTTCTTATCGGTCAACCATTCGATATTGTCAAAGTACGGTTACAAACCACATCGCAATACTCTGGTGCTCTGGATGCAGCAACCAAGATCTACCAAAACGAAGGAGCACTTGCATTCTACAAGGGCACTCTGACACCCCTGATTGGTATTGGAGCTTGTGTTTCGATTCAATTTGGTGGCTTCCACTACGCACGCCGCGCCTTTGAAGCCAGTAACATTGCCAAAACCGGAAATGGACAACTATCATACTCCCAGTACTATGCGGCCGGAGCATTCGCTGGGATCGCCAATACAGCCTTCTCAAGTCCCATTGAGCACATTCGTATAAGGCTCCAGACACAACCTCACGGTGCAAATCGCCTGTACAACGGCCCGATCGACTGCGTCCGCAAGCTGTCGGCACATCAGGGCGTCCTTGGTGGCGTATACCGCGGCACTGCTGTCACATTCCTGCGAGAAGCACAGGCCTATGGATGCTGGTTCACTGCTTTCGAGTACCTCATGAATGCAGACGCAGCCCGCAACAACATCGACCGGTCTCAAATTTCTACCTTGAAGGTTGCTGCCTATGGTGGTCTTGCTGGCGAAGTACTCTGGATCAGCAGCTATCCATTCGATGTGGTCAAGAGCAAGATGCAAAGTGACTCGTTCGGCGCGGAGCAAAAGTACAAAAGCATGAGGGATTGCTTTGCTAAGACCTATAGGGCAGAGGGCCTGGGAGGGTTCTGGAGAGGCATTGGACCGACCTTGCTAAGGGCAATGCCCGTTTCGGCGGGTACATTTGCAACGGTCGAGGTTACAATGAGGCTGATTAGCTGAAAGGAAGATTTTTAATCTTTCGCATTACGAGGAGGGGGGGGGGTGGTTCGATCAACAAGCACTCGCTCGCAACGGCGAAAACGACAAACGTATTTATTCCAGAGTCAGGGTCGTTCAATTCAGGTTTTGATGCTTGTTTCTGCGGATCCAGAGCCACCCGTCTTGGACGATTCTGGAGTTGACGAACATTGCCGTCTATATAAGACTTGAACATTTCGTATTCCTAAGTTCAACACTTCTCTCGAAATACATTAGTTTCGTGCGTTTTCCATCTGCTGTCATACTGCATCGCATGCGAAATTCTGCCGGGACGGCTTTCTCTCGGGTTTCTTCCTCACAAAAATCCACATGCCACATCTGATAAACCAGCAAGATGAGATTCTATTTTTCGCTCTTACACGATGTCGTGCTGACCACCAACAGATCAACCCGCTCAACGCACAGTATCGTTCTAGATGTAAGCAGGATCCTATCATACGTAATCTCACTGTTCCGAGCCTCTTGTGGTCACCGTTTTGCCGTTGTCCGGTCCTGCACCCCTGCACCCAGAGATGTCAACAAGCAAGTCAAGCTGGCTTGATTCTTATCGATTGCAGATCACAGACCATTCTCTGGGACGTGCCACTGTGCACGAGCCTCTATATTGTCTGTGATCTGCAATCGATAAGAATCAAGCCAGCTTGACTTGCTTGTTGACATCTCTGCCTGCACCGCCGCCGACCGCGCCACTCATTTCAAATGCATGTTCTCATCTCACGATGATCTTCCCTGGCCCGTGCGCTAAGGCGCCGAAGAGACCGACGACTGTCAGTGTCAATGTCAAAGCAGCACGGTCCCTTTCGGTAAAGTTATCGGCGTACCCTCCGCATATTGCTCGAGCCTGTGGTCTCCGCATCGAACATGTGGATTCCTTAATTGCCATGAATTATTACACTTTAGCGTACTTAGGTAGTGCCCTCCCACTTGCCGTCTGTCAAACCTTGTTCAACGGGCAAATTGCTTAGCATTGCTTACTGCCAAAAGTAACAGGAGTCCAGATTATGTATGGCAATCCGGGTCATTCCGGGTAACCTACCCTGTTTTGAAACAACTGGCTTACGGCACAAACTCGTATCCCCTCATCACACACACCTGTCCCAAGGTAATCCTTCCGTGAACAGAGCAGACGGCCCCCGATTCTGCAAGGGGAACTGGCCGAGGAACCATTCGGCGCAAAAGGCGAAAACGTGGGATTGACCATGGGGGATCCTCGTGGCACACATGATCGGATTCTGATACAATTGATCGACACCTTTTCTACCCCACCATTAACTTCCCGAGACGCCCTCCGCATTTGCCTATCAACATATCGATATTTGTTTTTTAGTTTCCCGTTCGCTGTCTCTGTCTCCTTCTCCACACTCTACTTCTCTAATCAGGCTTTCTCCCAAGCTTTCTCCCCCATGAAGCTCACCAAACCTTCTACTACCCAAAGCGGGACTGGATCGCCCGCCGCGCCTAATAACAACACTTCACCTGTCATCAAAAACTTCCTCAGCAAATTGTCGACTGTCACCTGCTTACCTCCATTCGGCGCGCCAAAACAACCGTCCGCTTACACACAATCCGAGGAAGACCTAGTCGCCATGCAACTACCCAAAGTCCACAGGAGTCAGAGACCCTCCTTTGATCCGATGAACAACACTAGCTGTCGAGCTGTTTGCCAATCCCCGCTAGATAAACGATATAAGACTAAGAAGGGAAATTCAAAGAGAGGTAGCCTTGCGCCAGTTGGAATCAATGAGGTCACAAATTCGAGGGTCTTGTTTTCGTCTGTGTCGACAGGGATGGTGGAACTTAGGGGTTTGAAATCACCGACACCTGGGCCGGAGAAATTTGAAGAGAAGGCGGTGTCGAAGGTGTGAGTTTTGGGATATGACGTTGTTGGTACGAAGTGCAGGCGCATTGGGGGAAGTTAGTCTTGGTTTTGTGTGAAAAAAAGGAGATTAAAGAAGCTTTGGCAGGCTGGACCTCATGTTGGTTGGTTTCGTTATGCCGGGAACGACAAGTTGAACTTGGTGTACGCCGCTGGATCTGACAGAAGGGGAAGGATTGGAAGTGTGGAACGAGACGTAATACCCCTGCCAGCAGGACGGCCGTATAATCACGTTGTTTTATTTATCAGAAGTCTTGATGGAGGACAAGATGGTCAATTCATTTCTAGCTTTGAGTCCTACAAGTCCTACAAGGGAAAGTGGATACAGACTCTTGCGATGAGTAAGCCGCAAGCAGCATCCTATATTCATTTTCCGTCAACCCCCCTACCCTTGCCACTCATCTATCTCACATACTCCAACCCAACAGGTACCCCAAGCGCCCCAACACCCTGACTCAATAGCTTGAAAACCGGACCCCTAATCCCTCCACTCCCCCTCCACACCACCTCCACGAGCATCGAAAACACCTCCCTCCCCATACTCTTAGCCACAAACCACACCGTCTAATTAAACTCATCTCTATACACATAAAAGCTCGAAATAGCCAACTTCTGCACCTCATCCCTGTCATTCACCACCGAAAACAACGGCGACTGCGATGAGGATATTAAAACACCCGTTGGGACAGACGTGAAAGGTGTGGTCGGTGTCGCGGGCAATTGAGAAATATAGCGATCGAGGTACTTGATGTTCGTTGTTGAAGCTGTGTTTTCAAGCCAGAAGAGTGAGTCGACGACGATGCGTAGTTGGCCTGGTGCGGCGGTTATCCCGTTTACGAGTAGCTGGGCGTTGTCTGTGCCGTTGAGGGCAGCGCGGAAGAGACTTCCTGTTGCTGTTGCACCGTTGTTGTTGGAGCTGGATGCTGCAGTCCAGTAGATCCAACCTCTTGCTTTGTCGACTACGATACCGGTGGCGTGGAGATTCGTTCCTTGGGCTATGTTGCGTACGAGCTGGGTGGTTTCGCCGTTGAAATCGGCTTTTTGAATGGAAAAGGTGGAGGGGTCGCTGTAGTAGGTTTTTTGCTCGGTTTCGGCGATTGTGAGACTGGGAATTTGGTTGGAGGAAAGGATTGTTGAGGAGGAGCTGCAGTCTAGGCTTGTGCGTATGATGCCTTGGCCTGTGGCGGAGAAGAGGAAGGTGAAGGAGGGGGAGTAAGCGAGTGCTTGGGCTCCAATGGGTGAAGTGTTGGCTTCTGCTTTGAATTGTGTGAGAGTTGTATTGTTTGACCCACCTTGGGCTAGGCGGCGGAGGGACGTAGGCCACTGGAGGATGGAAGTACTGCTTTGGCTTAGACCTGTGTCGAGGACGATGAATGACTGCGCGGTAGCAAGTCGAAGCAGGCCGATCAGGGGAACTAGAGAGAGCATGGTGCCTGTGAACCAAAGTAGTCGACGATGGAGCTGTACATCTTGGAAAACATGATTTCTTATGCGCCTAAACTCAGCTTGTCTTGTAGGTAAACGCTATGTTATATTGACATTGTTGAATAAGACTACTACCACTTTTGCATGCTGCGCCCGCATGTATATGAATCCACCTCATTAGCTGCTTGTGGCCGAAATCCTGAGTGAGAGTATACGATCGGACCATGTAGCTGTTTGGAATTAGTAGCTATCTTTGGCGTACGGCGTCCCATTCAATGAATCTAGATTGCTCACTGCAGTAGTCTCAAATACAGACTTCGTATCGTCGAACTCATGTGTATGGGATTTGTACTCTGGAGCTACTCATAAAGAATCTAGTGCCACGGCCGTGGTAGTGGTAAATGTGTCTAAGCTTTTGAATTTTTGAAAGCGGGTATCGTCATCAATTAATAGTATGTACTCCAACGCTAATGCAACGCTAAATCCTTCTGTTTTTCGGTCTCCGCTTCTTCACGGGATGATAGAAGGATCCTTAGGCCAATTTGCCGCAAACGCCGTCCAGGGTGTTCCCCTCATCACCATCTTTCCGGTCTTGTCAGGCTCGTACAGCACCGGCTCGTACCCCTGCACGCTCTTCCAGGACACAAATAGCCGTCTCCAATAGCACGTCACAGCGGCCGGCGTCAGGTACCTCCTCGTAAATGTTTCGTAGCTATTTCGAGCAATCAGCTCCGCATCTTCATCATGATCACGGTAGTATTCCATGGCCGATTCGAGGTTTCCAAAGTTCTCTGAAGCTTCAATGTAATTTACGTCTGGTCCTGCGAGGCGCATCAGGTGTGTGTGGAACTCTTGCCATTTCAAGGGGTGCGTTATGAGAGCTGAGCGGCATAGTTGAAGGTATTTTAGGCGCCCAGAGTACGAGGTTCCTTCGGTTTGGATCGTGAACTTGTATCTAGGAGATTGTTAGCATGTTTCCACGAGTCTTCTTCTTGGACTGTAGTGAACGTACCCGCAGAAATCGCGTAGGTTCATTACATCTTTGTTATGTGGGTCGCTAGCATTATTGATGACTACAGGCTTGATGTCACTCCAGCTTTGTCCCTTGCTGACCTTGATCAGCTCTTGCCTCAGCTTGGCCATTTTGACCTTTCCACGCCAAACCACCCTTGGGTCCTTCTTGCTCCATGGCACCTCTGTCTCCTTCTGCTGGATTTCCTTTCTGATGGCATTCCAACTAGGCGCATGGGTATAGTTCCAACTCCAATACGCGTAGTTTGGCATCATCCAGATGTCCCGGTACTCGGGGCCTTCCTTGCGCGTGTAGCCAAAGAATGTCCCTTTATCCTTAGACCGCCGTGGTAGATCGTCTAGCGAGAGGGCGAATTCGATATTCGGGATCGGAGTGTCGGAAGTAGAGGCGGTCACGACGGCGCGGTCAATCTGTGCCAAAGTTCCGAGAATGCGTTCTCGCTCGTTTCCGTTTACGACATAGCACTGCTCTGGCTTTCCAGCGTCGGTGACGAACACCTGTGATGAAGGTATGAGCAATGGGTTGGATGGATGAGAGTTTGTGTAAAATTACCTCTCCCTGATATATCATAACTCGTAGCATGCATCTTCCCGACAGGATCTCAATATCCTTGGGGTGTACCTTCCTTCCCTGTCTGGAGTTGACCGACTCATCCAAGCTGTGGTATAGCTCAGGAAAGGCAATATTGCACTGCTCTGAGCTGAGCGTGTGTACATTTGCATGTATGTCGGCGTTGAACTCCCAATTCCGGTGAAAATGTGCATGGCGTACAAAGTCCAGATAATGGCTGTGTTTAGACTGTCCCCATATCGACCATAACTGCGTCGCAATTACAAAGGTAGAGAAGTAAAAAATGAGGTGTGAGTAAGAAAAGCGGTACCCTTTGGGGATCATGATGGCATAACGAGTGAGTAACGAGCGACTAGGTGAATGACTGACGGGAAGGAGGGCGGGCACTACGTCGAACGTCGCTACGGGGGACAGAAGGGAACAAGTAGAAAGAAAGACATTCTATAGTGCCATAATTCATACGAGCGGGCAGTCCACATAACTGTGGCGGCTGCTTCACAGCTAACCACTCTCAGCAATGTCATGATTATGCGAACGGTAGCGAACCCCTGGGCTATGTTCACACCACGACAGGCGGGACACGTGTGTGCCGGCTGTCGGGCTTAGGACCTATCAAAAGCCCGCGGGAGCCGGATACGATAAGCATGTGGGCTGGAAAATGAATACGATAAAAGGATCTAAAGGAAGTGGGCGCAAAGATGATGGACAGGAGGGATGCGCATGGAGCAATCAGGGGCTTAAGCTTCAGCAAGACCTTGTCATCGAGACGCTTCCGGCTCGGCTAAGTCCAAATATGGCTAGTCCATACGAGCGCGCGCATTTAGACAACTCTTTGCGACCTTTGCGGGCCAGCCGTGCACGCTAAACATCCAATACCACCCACATCCGAGTCTTTTTGCGCGCAAGCCGCTCAAATTAACTCCTTGCCAAGGTCGCAGAATACATGCCGAACAAAACGAATATTCTGGAGTCGTCTCCGGGCGGAAACTCAACAAGCAATGCCATGAAATGAAAAGTTAACGCTTGGTGAGAGGCACAACTCTAATCGGAGAGCTTGGTAAGCTTATCCCCTGGATCTCCACACGCCTTTTCCCCTTCCGATTGTGATGGCATGTCACGAGGCGGAATCAGGAAGGTGGGATCTGCGACATGCAAAGCGGATCATTGCGAATAAGTACTCAGCCGTTAGACCCTGCGCCACGAAGGAGTCAGGCATCCTTCCATATATTACTACCTGCCTCGGCCATGAAGGATTCCACGTATTAAATGAAGGTAGGATTGCTAGGTTGTATCGCGAGTCAAATCCTTCTCAGCCTCTATGGTCCCAGCCTTCATGAGTAGGGCCTTCCAAACTCAGGTTACCTCGTACTGTGAGTGAGCGGTATGGGTCATGTGAAACTTGGCAGGCTTACGATTTGCAGTCAGTCCGGGATCCCGAGCTTCTCTGTGTGCTTCCCGCCCGCATAATGTCTATCACCTATCGAGTTCTCCACCCAGTAGTGCTGCTTTGAGAGTTTATGTGCATGTTTCTCCTCGAGGAAGCACAGGTAGGAGATGCTCCTTGAAACAATCACATCCAATCCAGAAATACACCAACTTCAATGCGCGCTCGATACGAATGCCTCGTATACTTGAGTTTGGAGTTTCTGTCCAGATCGGCCGCAACTCCGCTCTCCGACCAACGACATTACGATCTTCTTCTTACATTCCATCCCAGACGATTACGCCAGCTTCCTATTATTATCCCAATCCAGACCCAGCTGGGATGACAACGTGGCAACATTCCTCGGCGTTGTGGTGACATGTTAGAAAAAGGTGCTTCACTCGGGAAGATCACCCGGCAGTTCTAGATGAATTCATGGGAGACGCACACAAGCTCTCGATCGTCGCCAGCGCTGTACCAGAGAATAAATTAGGAACAATCAAGCTTTTGAAAGACATGCATAGCATCTGGGGATATCTGCGTCTTGCCGTTCTTGGTCAGCATAATCTCTCGGGTAAGATTGTTCCAGAACAACAACAACTGCAAAACATTTTGGGATGAACCCGGTGGTCTCCTTCTAGAAGAAACACTACCACCAACGGGCCGTCCGGCAGAGGGAATGCGATGCTCAAATACCGCATCCCATGTTTCCATGGTCATCTCATGATGTACCCCACTCTTGTCAAGCACTCGGCCCAAGAGTGGGAGGAAGGCCCGTCTCCGTTTCAGTGCATACCCATTGGCTCATAGAAGAACTCCCTGTCCCCTCCCCGCAAACAAGCGTCATCTCGGCCTGGTAAACGTTCCAGTGGGGGAGTCCCAGGTTTATCAGTCCGCCCAAGGATGTTTCATGTGAACCCCAGATTATAGAACCACTACCACAAGATAGTGAAGATAGCACGTGCCTCTAACTGATAGGCGTAAGGCTACCATAGTCTGAATCCGATTAAGCTGCCCCACTCCTGAGATACAATACCCATGATTATGGTGTCCTGGATCCGGAGACGCGACCCCAAGTACGGGTGATCGTGGCAAGTATGAGTCTGATATAAAGCACACATTGCCAAAAACTAGTCCAGGTGCTACAGCTTGTCAACTTGGGTTGGTCTGCTCAGCTCAATCTTGTCGGGCCGGACTTGTACAGTAATCATCGTGGACACTAACTAACGTCCACATTAAGTTCGGCGAGCCTACACCGGACATCTACAGTATCCCACAACACCAACCCAAACATTGCCGCCGTCATCGCCCCGAGAAGTCGTATCCGACAACCCAAAATGTCCGACGAAAAGATACCCGATCTCCTCGAGAAACAAGACTCCTGCCCCACCACCCGCACCATCGAGCCCGAACTCGGCATCAGCGAGCCCGTCAATGCCCTCCAACGTTTCGCAAACAAGCTCGATGCAGTATGTGGCGTGGAAGCCCGGGGTATCGAGCGAATCCCAGAAGAACTAAGGGAAAGATCCATGAGCTATCGAGACTACATCCACATGTTCACCATGTAAGCTTTCTTTCGTCGCCATTGGCACAGATATGTAGACTCACAGATTTATATAGCTGGTTTTCGATGAATTGCACAGCTAATCAGCTCACCCTCGGTGTCCTTGGCCCCGTGACCTACAAGTTGGGTTTCACAGACTCCATCGTGTACGTATTTGCCACATTTGGGGACTACCCCTGCTAAACAGCCCCAGATTATGCATGTTTGGTACCATTTTCGGCTCCGTGTTTACGGGATATATATCGACATTTGGACCACGGTCTGGATTGCGGACGCTGAATGTGGCGAAATACACAATGGGCTGGTGGCCCTCGAAGACTTTGTGTTATACTCAATCTTTGCATTGAGATTGGATATGGGCTCATTGACTGCCTGGTAAGTGTGCTGTTGCTATCGGCTGTTAATGGTGGTGGGTATGTCGATTATTGT